GAGGCACGAAACGTATAAGCCTGGGTAGGTAGCGCATGCAAGGACAGAATTTGTGACAGTAAACTTCACTAACTACTAAGAGTGCAGTCAAAAAATCCTTAGACAGAATGGGTTTTAGGGAAACGGTGTTTCACTAGTTAGTTCGCCTATGAGGTATAACGTGTGGCCGCAGGCGGGGGATAGTGAGGCAGTCTGTAGCAAAGGTCAACTTCGAATTTTCGAAGTTGCCGCTGAAGTTTGCGAAAAGACTGTAGGCGCTCCCTGGCAGAAAATCTCTCACGAAGACCAATGTACTTGGCGTACTCAGGGCCTACAAAGAAAATATCCGGCTCGAAGTGGACTTAAACAGGTTGATAAAGGGTGCAACCATCACGATCCCTGAGGAAAACCGATGAAAGGACACGGTGTAGTGCAACTCTAACGGTTTTAAAGAAGTGTTTACTTTCGGTGATGAACGTTCGCCCGATCACTAACGGAACTCATCTGTCCCGCTCTGCCTACGGTCTTGACAGAGGCCCTGACAGCCGTAGCAGCTGCTAGTATAGGCAGATAGTATTGCCGACAAAGACCAGGAAGACTGGAGTGGCGATTTCTGGCTTATTAGCCGTTATCAGCTAGTCCTACCTAGACCCAAGTGGCGTCCCACCCCAGCCTCGAACTCGCGACCTTTATCAACGAAGGTCAATATCCCCCGACCTAAACCGGCAAGACAACAAGCTCGTGACTCAATGGTTAGGGCGCTTGACTCTAGTCAAAAAGGTCGCGAGTTCGAGGTTCGGGTGGGGCTCCACTTGGGTGTAGGTACGGCTGCCTGACGACGGCTAATAAGCCAGAAATATTCAGTCCAGTCTCCCATATCTTTGCGGCAATAGTATCTGCCTATACTACCGAACTGCTTACTATCTTCCTCGCGTATCCAATTCGCTGATGGCTTGTTGGATTTACTTGGGGAACTAGAATGGATTAGGTACCCAGACATCCCACACATCAAGGTACTATATAAATGCCCGGAGGGCTACAAATGGCCCTTCTGTTAACCGAGTCTGACACCACAGAAAAATCCAGAAATGGGGGTTGGCTGCAAAGTGTTATCTTAGTTCCGTGCGAGCTGTGAGTACGCACGAGAGTTAGGTTGTTATTGACGGATGGAGAAACAAAAACCCACCTTATGAAGACAAAGTAATGGTAAAAAACATCACTAAGAAAAAAAAACAGACTGATTATGTTAAAGAGATACAACAAAGGATTCTCACCTGAACAACTCCCCACACGACGTAAGCGGCGTTTAGGCCGAGAGCGTAGAAGGTAAGTAGCAACCAACGATGGTTTTCGTTGAATCGGTTGATTTTTTGAATCCAGTGAGTTAAAGATAGTGAACTGGCAGGAGTAGATGCATGAGCGGAGGTCGAAGAAGGTGCAGCCGTTGAAATTGGCAGGTCGCAATCACTTTCTCGATTTTTTGAGAAACAAACGTACAGGACGCGACTGGCCCAGCGACCTAGCCTGCCTTATAAATGGAAATATGACCAGTAAGCGACTATATTATCAGTCGAACAAATTTTATGAGCTACAGTCATAAGTATATTATGTACATTACTTGAATTTCTATAACCTAGAAGAACCATGTAATCATTGGACTTGAGGCGCGCAAAGTTTAAAAAATAGGTATTGTTGACCTACTTACTCATAGTCTAATACCTGGGCTGAACAGATTTCCGTATTCAGGGCTTCACAAAGGACGGTCTCGAGTAAGTGATTATTTGTGTAACTCGGAGGAACTACGTATTACGTTTTTTCAATGGACTACACTAGCTTTCAAACAATTAGTTATAAAAAAAAACAAATTGCAAAGAAGGATGCGGTGGTTTTGGGTTTGCTTGTACGCAGGATCAATAATTATTTACCCGGCGTTTAGGTTTAAGTCATGTCAATCCAACCTTAGCGATAAAGGTGTACCAGTTGTTAAGTCTTATTGTCCCTTGCTAGGGTTGGACGCCATAAACGTTCTGGTCTGTAGCATTTTCTGAGCTCTAGAAAATATTATCTTGAGTTTTTGTTACCAATCGGCCTTAAAGCGGTTGCTGTAGGCTGAATTGA